TGGGTTTATAAACTCTTAAAATTTTATTTCCAAATATACACTATTAAATAATCAAAAAAAAAGTGTTACTCATATACTTTTGGACACTAACGATAATAGGGTTAATTTACTAAAGGAAAATAGACTGTGCACTTTGCAAGAGCAGGTGCTCCAGAGCTTATAAATGGGTAGAAGCTCTGCTGACTTCCATCATCCAATCATGTGCAAGCAAAATGCAGTTTTTTTTTCACTTTTCCTGCAGGTGATTGGGTATTCTTTGCAAAGTGACCTCATTTACCAAGCTCTGGAGCAACTGCACTTGCAGAGTGCAACCTTTAGTAAATCAACCCCTATTTATTGCCACGAGACAGACTAACGATACCATCTATCACAGATAATAATGGCCTTTTTTTTTTTCAAACCTCTTTTAATATACACGCTAAAAGCCGTTTTCCCATCTTCACATTTTTTTCTACTAATAATTGTTGTTGCCCAGCAGATATATTTATTCCAGTATAGTTTCCTCCTCCTTAGAATAGGTTACTCATTCAAGTGCTCATGTGTAATTTGTTTTCTTCCTTGGATTTCCTGTTATGAGCAAAGGAAAAATTCCCTTTACCTCCATTCCAGAATCTTTTGTTTTCTTTTCTGGCGATAACTTTTTTCCTGTCATCTGTCTTTACTTTGGACCCATAGCCCAATTATTTTCTCTCTTGAAGAAATCAAATGTTCAGCAGCCCAGTTAATTTGAAAATAAAATAGACACATTTTAGGAAACACGTTGTCTATCATTTTATGTTTTTTCCACCTCTTAATTTACCTTGTTGTTTTTGGATGGTGTTATGTAGTTCTATAAATAATTGCAGCTTTCCTATTGGTTTGTAAAATTAGTTGAGATCATTTATGTTCAGTTCTTTTCTGAAGTCTGAAGGCCCTTCCAATTTTATGCCAACATAGTATGTAAGTTTCTTACATGTAACATTTCAGCTCCATTTGCTGATCTGATTTTGGATTTCTTTCCATTTATTAAGGAAGCTGACACTCTGAAACATTTATGTAAAATAGCAATCATGTGGGAAGGTGTGTTCTCTATTTAAACTAACCATGTTTCAGTCATGGTAAACTTTTCAACTTTTCCACTGGTCTGTCACATATTTATTTCTTTATATATGTTTCACTCTGCCACATTATCTCTTAGCTATTAATGGTAGTGGTCTGTTGTCATAGAAAATAGTGAATGCGTACAAGATGTGTACATAATGTCAACAGTGTCTGCATTTGGCATCAACTGAGAGAGTCCACAGGCCTCGTAGAAGCTTGACTGATGTTCTGCTTCCAATATTCAAATAAATTGCAACCATTTGCATCTTGTTGAGGCATTCAGAGAATAAATATGTATATTTAGCCTTTGTCAACTTTAATATGACAGCCTAAATGTTCTCCGATATAGAACTTTATGACATATAACATTTTACAACATAATCTACATTTTTATCCAGAGGTTAAATGGCACCTGGAATTTAACTTGGACAACTAAATACAAGATGCTAGACAATCCAACCTACCTAAGACAGTGGATACAGAAGAGAAAGATTCACCTGTGAAGGAAGTAAGTAGATGGATTTCAGTTTGCTAAATACGGTTTTGATTGCAAGGGCTAGCCAGTAGATCCAGCTGCTTTGGGGTTTTCTTGAAAAAAGTTCAGAATCCACATTGAATCCACTCCTCTATAACTGGTAATACTTTCCTATTAACATATACATTAAAATGAGTACATGCTTTTATTTTATCATCCTAAATATGAACGTGAATTGTTTCTTGCTCCATATTAGGTGAGCCTGAATTGTCTACACATGGTGCTTGGGTTGGACATACTAATTTGTGATTGAATTGACTATTATAGAAAGTCTTTTTCTTTTTTAACAGGTGCTGTATCCTTAATAAAACCTTGACAAATGTTCTTGGAGTTGGCATGTTGCTGCTGCACACTCATTGAGTCAATCATGTTAGTGTAGTGTGTGAATCACATAGGAGTACCTAATCCCTTTTAAAGGGATCTGAAACTATTAACAATCTTTGTTTGGAAACTATAAGATAATTTTGGTGTGATCTAGTGATCCTGAATTAATTCCTAATCCCACAATGCCAATCAAATAAAACTAGGTCTTGGCTGAGGATGCCATAGATGAAAAAAGCATATATCTTAGAGGAACCCCTGGAGTTTGTCTACTTTATTGATTTATAGAAGGTATACAAAACCAATATATCCAATACAAAACCATACAGACCCTTTTGCGGCTATTACAAGGCAAAGAAAACTCCACTAGTCTTGGTTTCTAAACCTGTTTCATCAGTCTCTCTCTCTCAAACTCCTCAGCTACATGCATGCAGACTTAACCCCACAAAAATGTATAGGGAAAGATTAATTTGCATATCATCCAGTCTCTGACCCCCAATTAGCCACTTCCCAGGCTCTTGCACCAGCTGCTACTCAGTCTGTAGCTCTGGATCTGCCTTTCCCAGCCACTAGTCTTTATTTAACTTCTGCCCTAATCTTTAAGGGCATCTGCTGTAGTCAGCTCTGCTTGGTCCTTTGAGACACTTGGGTTGATTTACTAAAGGTGGAAAGACTGTTCACTTTGCAAGGGAAGTTGCACTTTGCAAGATCATTTGCCCCATATCACAATGAATGTGGTGGAATTTCACTTTGCAAAGAATACTCAATCATGTGCATTATAAAAAAACAAAATTTTTGCTTGCACATTGATGGTAGTCAGCAGAGCTTCTACTCATTCACTAAGTTCTGGGGATAATTCTTTTGCAAAGTGCAACTTCCCTTGTAAAGTGAACAGTCTATTTGCCTTTAGTAAATCAACCCCTCTGACTAATATTATACATCGTTCACATGGGCGTACTGATCTGTACACCTGTGCAAAGGGCTGTGTAAAAGAAGTGGTGGACTGACTTACTTAAAGCTTAAAGTAGAGCTATGAGCAAAACTTTTTTTTTTTTTCATTTTGGATAGAGTAAAGAAGGGTCATAATGCCTGTAAGGTTTGTTGTCTGTGTTCCATTAGGAAGATTTCCCTTCACTTCCTGTCCCAAAGACAAAACAAGAAATAAGAAGAAATAGTGTCCCCATTGGAAGATTTCCCCATTATTACTTTTCTGGGGACAACCCAAAATGTGGGATTTTCTTTTATTTTCTCTTTCAACGATAATGGTAAACAGGACAAATAGAGATAATGAATCTCTCTAACGAGGACACAGACAGCAATAAAAACCTAATACATGTTCTAATCCCTCTCTGATCTATCCAAAACTAAAAAACGTTTTACCTTTAGTTATACTTTAACAAAGCAATGGGTCCTAATGGTATTATTCTCAGAGTTCTAAGGGAACTTCAAGGTATAGCTGCTGGACCATTCAATGATCTTTTTTAGTAAATCTCTTCTAACAGGAAAAGGTTCCCATGACTGGTAGACAGCTAATATTGTATCCGTAAGAAGACAGTTATATTAGCCACTCTAGTAGAAAAATGTAGTAGGGATCACTCTTAGGAATAATAAGTGATCATGTAAAAAAACAACAACTTTCTGGGTCAAAAGTAGCATGGCATTACTGTGATTAGATCATGTCAAACTTATCTGAATTTTACTACGTATGTCACAAATGCTTTGGACTAGTTGGAGCTGTGGACATGGTCTATCTTGATTGCAGCAAAAAATGTAATACAAATGCACATATTGATCTCATAAAAGATTTGGACAAACTAGGACTTAACCCTTGTGTGGTTCAGTGGATATACATTTGGCTAAAGGATAGATATCAAAATGTCCTTGTAAATTGGGTTCCTATGGAACAGAGACCAGTCACTGTCACTATTGAAGTACCATAAGGCTCTGTACTTGGTCCTGTTCTATTTATACCGGTTTCTAAGTGACATAAACTATTTTTGTAACATGGAACTTTATTTGGCATTTCTAGAATATTGGTTAAAGCAGTAGAAACTGTAGTTCAATATTTCTTAATGCAGAATAATGCATTTAGGGAAAGAGAATCCTCTAATGGAATACAATTTTGGGAGTATAGTGTTGGCCAGAACTACAGAGGAAAAAGATTTGGGGCTCATATTTCATATGATAGAGCAGTGTGGGCATTCAGTGGGTAAAGCAAATAGAATTTGGTTGCGTATAAGTAGAGGGATCAACAGCAGAAAGAAGGAGGTCCTGATCTTTAATATCTTTAGTATAGCTATTTATTTAGATCTCAATTAGAATACTGTGTCTCGTTCTGAAGACCTCACTTACAAAAAAGATATTGATGAGGTAGAACATGTCCAGGGGTGGGAAGCAAAACTGGTGAAAAGGTCTGAGGGATAAAACATATCAAAGAGAGACTTCAGAAACTTAAAGCGGAACTACACTGCATTTAATTAATTTTTAATGTTCAAAGCAAACTCACCCATACATCCATGTCTCATGCTTTATTTTGCTGAGAAACCCCCCCTAGCATTTCTGGCTGTGGCCATCTTGAGTAAGGGCATGTAGCATTTACTTCCTGGAATCCATCTGCCCTTAGCTCAGGCAAGCAGGCAGGTTTAGATTACTTGAGAAAGCCCCTCCTGAAGAATCTTGGGATTAAACTCCCTAGCGGTCTGATTATGTCCATATTTCTGTGCTCAAAGCGTTACATTTTTTTGCATGGAAATATGTATTTTTTTTTATTGTGAGCCTGTAATGTTTAGGAATAACTCACTCAAATCTGTCCGAACAAGAGTCTAGTAAACATCCCGGGTATGTTAAAATTTGAAACACAAAATCATAAATTATAATTTAATAAATAATCATAAAATATAATAATATAATAATAATAATTACATTTAATTCAATAATATAATCAAACCAAAAACACTGAATTTCAAATATAGCGCCAAGTTCGCACATCACTGAGCAAAGTTGTGTAAAGCAAAATCGTTTTTCAGTGTCTGATGACAAATTTCCACACAAATCATTATCACTCAATTCTGCAAGTGGTTCTGATTTACTATCGCTGTTCTCTAGCTGGTCTAAAACCGCTTTTGACCTAAAGGGACGCTTTTTGGACGCCATGGACTTTTCTCAGTTTTTTCCAGGCAATAAGAACAGTAAAAATGCAGGCAGGGCACAGGACAAAGCACTCGGGACAAAATGTATGTGAAATGGTTTGATACAGTAATGTTATATACTATGTGATTTTAGTGAATGTCACTTTTTGTCATTTTCAAATTTCCCGCCGTTCCGTCCCCCTGTGCGTCCGACGCTTGCAGGGGACGGAACCCAGATGACAGATGCTGGCATCCGCCGGATTACATTGCCAGGGACACTGAAGGAGGGACAATCGCGGGAGCGCAGGACAAGGTAAGTGATCGAGGGATCGCGGAGAAGCTCCGCATGGTAAGCCCGAGTGTAGCTCGGGGTTACCACTTGTGGTACTGAAACTTTACCCCAAGCTACACTCGGGAATACTGCCAGGGAGGTTAATGACATAATTTGCCTAGGTCAAAACAAGTAAATATATAATATACAGTTGTGACCAAAATTATTCAACCCCCACTGAAATGAGTGTTTTGGCCAGTTTGACATTGCTTTTGATCATTCAGTCATCTTGCTTACATTTACATTAAAGAGGCACTTGTAGGTCAGACAAATATAAACATAACAGTTATAATGAAATAACCACAAATGTCTTTTCTGTGCTCACAGCATTATCAGTTTTTATTCAACCCCCAAGTGACATTCAATCTTAGTACTTAGTACAGCATCCTTTTACAGTTATAACAGCTTTTAAACGTGAAGCATAGCTTGACACAAGTGTCTTGCAGCGATCTACGGGTATCTTCGCCCATTCTTCATGGGCAAAGGCCTCCAGTTCAGTCACATTCTTAGGCTTGCGCACTGCAACTGCTTTCTTTAAGTCCCACCAGAGGTTCTCAATCGGATTTAAGTCTGGTGACTGCGATGGCCACTCCAAAATGTTCCAGCCTTTCCTCTGCAACCATGCTCTAGTGGACTTGGAGGTATGCTTGGGATCATTGTCCTGTTGAAAGGTCCAACGTCTCCCAAGCCTCAGGTGTGTGACGGACTGCATCACGTTTCCATCCAATATCTCCTGGTACTGAAGAGAATTCATGGTACCTTGCACACGCTGAAGCTTCCCTGTACCTGCAGAAGCAAAACAGCCCCAAAGCATGATTGACCCTCCACCATGCTTCACAGTAGGCAAGGTGTTCTTTTCATCATAGGCCTTGTTCTTCCTCCTCCAAACATAGCGTTGATCCATGGGCCCAAACAGTTCTAATTTTGTTTCATCAGTCCACAGAACACTATCCCACAACTTTTGTGGTTTGTCCACATGGCTTTTGGCATACTGCAGTCGACTCTTCTTATTCTTTGGAGACAGCAAGGGGGTACGCCTGGGAGTTCTGGCACGGAGGCCTTCATTACGCAGTGTGCGTCTTATTGTCTGGGCTGAAACTTCTGTACCCACATCTGACAAATCTTTTCTCAGTTCCTCAGCAGTCACACGGGGACTTCTCTCCACTCTACGCTTCAGGTAGCGCACAGCAGTCGAAGTCAGCATCTTCTTTCTGCCACGACCAGGTAGCGTTTCAACAGTGCCCTTTGCCTTGAATTGCGAATGATGCTTCCTAAGGTGTCTCTTGGTATGTTTAACATCTTTGCAATCTTCTTATAGCCATTGCCCTTCCTGTGAAGAGAAATCACCTCTTCTCTTGTCTTCCTGGACCATTCTCTTGCCTTCACCATGTTTGTAACCACACCAGTAAATGTCTAGAAGGAGCTGAGTATCACAGTCATTTTAAAGCTGCCTAATTGGTGCTTATTATGCTTGATTGCTGCTCGGTGACATCCACAGGTGTTTTCAATACCTGATGGAAAGCACCTGTATGAACCTCTGTTCTTCAGAGTGGTAGTTCTTTAAGGGGTTGAATAATTGTGGCAATGAAGAAACCACATAAGAACCATTTACTACTGTATTACATAAACAATTGATGTCATTTTAGTTGCATTTGGGTTAGTTACAAACGTCCTTTCATCGAAACCTTTAAATACATTAATGGTATGAATAAGGCTTAGGGGGGTGGGATTTTCAATATGAAGCTAAGATCAATAACATGAGGACATGAATTCAAACTAGCAGGATGAAAGTTCAAAACTAACCTTAGAAAGTATTTTTTTATTACTGAAAGAATAGTTCCAGGAAAAGGTAGTGAGTCAATCAAAATGTTAAAATACGAACAAAAAAAAGTGATCAGTGATGCTCATGCCAAATCCTGTGATTCTCAAACTTGCATCAAAGTCAGTGGTTCCTAAGCTTGCTTTGAAACTAGCTGTATTCAAAATGATCTCAAAGCCAACAGTCTTCAGTTTTGGCACACTCGATGAACCAGTTAGTCTTTTTTCTGCCATTCGTCTACATTTCTATGGCTCTTGTATTAAATGGCACCCCTTTTATACAGTAGACAGTTTTGATACTGTAGCTTCTATATATTTATGTTGTTGAGTTTCTAACCCGTTTCTTTCTGTCAAATCCAGTTTAAGACTTGCTTTAAGCCATATCATCTGATCTGTTTTTGACTGTTACAAACAGACAAGATCTGCCTTTATTAAATAATCCATCTTTGGATCCTCTTCCTTTGACATTTGATTACCAGATAGTCTATGCTCTCACCTATCCTGTCCTAGCTCCATCTTCAAACTTGTTTCAACTCTTGATCCAGCTTCAGGCCCATTCACACTCATTCCATCCATTATACTTTTAGGTCTGTCTCTTTCTGCGCCAACTGACTCAACTTCAATCCTGTATCCCCTGCACCAGTTGTTGCAGTTGAAAGCATGCTACCACCTGTACTAATCTAGCTCAAGACCTGTACCACCTGTGCTAATCTAGCTCAAGACCTGTACCACCTGTGCTAATCTAGCTCAAGACCTGTACCACCTGTGCTAATCTAGCTCAAGACCTGTACCACCTGTGCTAATCTAGCTCAAGACCTGTACCACCTATGCTAATCTAGCGCAAAACCTGTACCACCTGTGCTAATCTAGCTCAAGACCTGTACCACCTGTGCTAATCTAGCTCAAGACCTGTACCACCTGTGCTAATCTAGCTCAAGACCTGTACTACCTGTGCTAATCTAGTTCAAGACCTGTACCACCTGTGCTAATCTAGCTCAAGACCTGTACCACCTATGCTAATCTAGCTCAAAACCTGTACCACCTGTGCTAATCTAGCTCAAGACCTGTACCACCTGTGCTAATCTAGCTCAAGACCTTTACCACCTGTGCTAATCTAGCTCAAGACCTGTACCACCTGTGCTAATCTAGCTCAAAATATGCACCACCTGTACTAATCTAGCTCTAAACCTGTTCCCTTCTCTGCCAGTTAACTCATCTTTGAATGCTTTTACTTAAGCTGGCTGCTTCAGCTTCAGGTAAGCATTTCTCTGTATCACCCTCTTGAGTTTTCAGAATAGGGTCCATCTGGTTTTTGGGTAGTACTATTACTTTAACATGAATAAAATCATCTGGAAGCAACTTTTAGAAGGTGGTTTAATGTACATAGTACTGACTATGAAACCACCTTCTCAAAGCAGCTTCTAGACAGTCTGAAATGAAAATTGCAGTTTTGGAAATCTGTATCTGTATAGTTAAATCATCCAAATGCAGCACTCATTGTTGTCTGCATACAGTATTGCGTCCAACTCCTTATAGGAAGCAGACTCTCCAAAGGAACAGAGAAAGCCACATGTCAAGACTCCAAAGCATTTGCCTGTCACTCCCAAAACTCCACTTGGCACACAACATGCAGAGAAAAATATCCTCCTATAGCATTTGTATAGGTTGCTGTTGGGAGAAGGACCTGAACATGACCCCTTCCCCTCTGCCCTAGTCTTCCCATGGTTTTAATAACTAATTAAAATGTTTAGGAAAACTCAAAACTCAGTTAAATGAGTTACAATAGATTCAGGTAATAAGATAGTAAATAGAAATTATTAAAGAAAAAATGGCAGAAAGAGACTTGCATTATTATGCTTCATCATAACTGCAAAAAAAAAACACTATAGCTCAGAGTTTCAAACCAACAAAAGCATACAGTAAACTGTATATGTATGTTAATAATCAAGATAAAAAACATGAGGGGAAACAACAAAAGCACTTAAAATAATTAATAATCAGATGTCTTAATTATAGGAAAAATTGATAGTTTCCTAAATACTTCTTGCTCTGCATAACTAAGTTGAGTGTCCTGCCTTTTTTATGAGCAATCTCTTCTTTTTCTACATGTATATTCACCAGGGTGTTCCATTCCAGTGCGTTTAATGCATGGGTGTTCTGTTAAGGCAGCTCATTCATTTATATATACTATTGCATACCCACACTGAGGACCACGTTATATGTGTGAAAAGTCCTCTATCATATATAATATGATATATGACTGGCTGCAGCTCTAATAAAATGCTATACCTTTAAGATAACTGTAATTTTAGGCGCTGCCTGGTCTGTGCAATCATTTGTCAATGCCACATGTGCAAATGTGAACCATAGATCAATAAATAGCAGTAAAAATAAATGAATGAACATTTACAATTATCATGAATAAATGCACAAATTAATAAATGAATGAATAAATAAAGTTCTTCAAATTAGTCCATGTCTCTGTCTCTTCAAGCATTCAAAGTGTAACAAGCAACCATACATCTTTAACCTCTTCAATACCTGAGCTCCTCCATGCATCTTATCAGTTTGGTTGCCCTTTTCTGTACTTTCTCCAGTTCCCCGATGTTTTTTTTGTGAATTGGTGCCCAAAATTGAACTGTATATTCCAGATGAGGTGTTACTAATGATTTGTACCGGGGTAATATGATATCTCTCTCTCTGTAGTCTGTACCTCTTTTAATACAAGAGAGGATTTTGCTCGCTTTAGAAACCGCAGCTTAGCACTTCATGCCATTATTAACCACTTCAAGTCCGGACACTTTCACCCCCTTCCTGCCCAGGCCAATGTTCAGCTTTCAGTGCTCTCAGACTTTGAATGACAATTGTGCAGTCATGCAATGCTGTACCCACACTAAATTTTTATAATTTTGTTCACACAACTAGAGCTTTCTTTTGGTGGTATTTAATCACCACTAGGGATTTTATTTTTTTGCTAAATTTACGAAAAAAAGACCAGAAATGTTTAAAAATCTCACATTTTTCTTTGTTTTCGTTATAAAATTTTGCAAATAAGTAATTGTTCTTCATAAATTTAGGCCAATATGTATTCTGCTACATTTCTTTCATGAAAATAACTCAAATCAGTGTTTATTATTTAGTCTGTAGGAAAGTTGTAGAGTTCACAAATAATGGTATATATCTGAAAATCGATCAGTTGTGAAGTAGTGATAGCCAATCTAATTTGTTGAGGTCCAAAAATGTCAGGACAGTACAGATATCCCCGAAATGACCCCTTTTTGCAAAGTAGACAGTCCAAGGTATTTAGTAAGAGGCATGGCAAA